CCCTTGGAGGACATTTGGGACGAGCCAAAACTATTGCCTTGGTTGAAGAGCGGTACTATTGGCCTCAACTGAAGCAGGACATTGGGCGATTTGTAAAAAAAATGCTACATCTGTCAGACTACCCAATGCCACTCGCAGAACACTGGTCTTTACACCCCTTTACCTATTTCTTCTGGACCTTGGGTAAACATTTCAATGGATTTTGTGTTGGGCCTTCCCCGAACCCAACGAGGTATGGATTTTGTTTTTGTGGTGGTGGATAGGTTCACAAAGATGGCATACTTTGTTCCTTGCAAAAAAACTTCCGATGCTTCCCATGTGGCGAGCCTATTCTTTCGGGAAGTAGTCCGCCTGCATGGTGTGCCCAAAACAATCACATCTGACCGTGACACCAAGTTCCTCAGTCATTTTTGGAGGACCCTATGGCGCTTATGATTTACAGTATAGTAGCTCTTTCCATCCCCAAACTGACGGTTAAACTGAAGTCGTCAACCGTACTATGGCGGATATCATTCGTTGCCTTTGTAGTGACATGCTAAAGCAATGGGATCGATATCTTGCTCCTGCTGAGTTTGCCTTCAACAACACTGTCAACCGTTCCATAAGCACATCGCCGTTTGAGGTTATTTATGGGTGAACCCCACAACATACACTGGACCTCGTGCCTTTGCCCAAAGTCCCAGGATATAGCGTTGCAGCTGAGAATTTAGCAACAAAATTGCACGAAATAAAAGGTTGTGTGAAGCAACAGCTGGAAGCTTCCATTGCTATCTATAAAGTTGCTACAGATAAACACCGCCGCCTCAAAGTTTTTGTTGAGGGTGATGAAGTGATGGTCTACCTCCGCAAAAAGCGCTTCCCTGTTAGTACATATAACAAGCTGAAGCACAAGAAAATTGGCCCCTGTCGAATCGTAAAGAAGATCAATGACAACACCTATATTGTTGATCTTTCGGGTGACCTCAACATTTCTCCGACATTCAATGTAGCGAACCTGTTTGAGTATCATTCCCCAAATACTCCCCTTTATCCTGACAATAACTCGGTTCGAGTTCCTTTGAAGTGGAGAAGACTGATGTAGAACAAATAGCAAATGCTTATTTGGAAACTTTCGAGCATCAAAAGAGCAAGCGATCCGCCCTCGCCTTAAATGACGGGTCAATTTCAGACGATCATAACTTTTGATCCGGAGGAGTTATGGTGCATATAGCATATCAAATCAAAATCCTTGATATTCAATCCTTAAAGATAATCCTTGATTTTCAAGCCTTCAAAGATTTCGGACGTGATTTGCAGATTTCGGAACGCGTTTTGAAGATGTTCCCCTTTATCAATATTGTTTTCCTTAATTATGTTATTTGATTTTAAATATTTGATTGTTTCCCAAAGGGCGACCTCCCTATAAATAGGCGACTTAGATATCGTAAATGGTACTTCGATATTCATAATAAATGTTATCTTTTGGAATTCTTTTCCAAGTCTATCTTCCTCTGCGTCACGTAGACTAACAAACAGAGTGTAAACCACTTGTCGAAAGGATTGCTTCAAAATTTAATGGCTGGACTGTGAAGAAGCTTCCCTGTTGTCAGAGATTATAGTCGATCAAATCTGTCATCTATGGCCTCGTTAATTACTGGTCCCATATCATTCTTCTCCCTAAGAAAGTGATTAGAGCAGTGGAGCAAAAATGCCTATCATTTCTCTAGAAAGGTTTCTAGAACGCCGCAGGTGGACCTAAGGTTCAATGGGACAAGATATGTCTTCCTGAACTGGAAGGAGGACTCGGTCTTCGAAGATTGGATCTTTGCAACGTTGCTTGTATACTCAAATGCCTCTGGAGACAGTTATCCATGTCCGGTTCTGTGACAACCCGGTCCGATGAGGGCGGGGAGTGGTCGCCGGGGTCCGAGGACTTGGACAAGGAGCGGCTCCTGGCAGGCTTCTAGGATGGCGAAGGGGGCACGTCTCTCCTGTCCCACATCGCTTGAGGGGGAAGCCTTAACTTGAAAGAGGCCTTTTCTGAGGGTAGTATGGGCTGCCCTTGAAGGAACAAAACCGTGAGCACTTAGTGTCCAAAGCGGACAATATCTTGCGAGTGGGACTCAGGTCGTTACAGGTGGTATCAGAGCCGACTTCTGACCGCGTGTGAGGCCACAGCGAGGACGCTGTGCTCGAGGGGGGGGGGGAGTGTGACAACCCGGTCCGATGAGGGCGGGGAGTGGTCGCCGGGGTCCGAGGACCTGGACAAGGAGCGGCTCCTTGCAGGTTTCTAGGATGGCGAAGGGGGCACGTCTCTCCTGTCTCACATCGCTTGAGGGGGGGGGAGTCTTGGGCAACTTATAAAGGCTTGGGAAGCCTTAACTTGCAAGAGGCCTTTTCTGGGGGTAGTATGGGCTGCCATCAGAGGAACAAAATCGTGAGGACTTAGTGTTTAAAGTGGATAATATCTTGCGAGTGGGACCCAGGTTATTACAGGTTCCCTTTGGATTGCTTGTTTACACAGTTATTCATAAGCAAAGGTAATATTTGGGCTGTTCAGGCATCTGCTACGTCTACCTTTTGCTCGGAGAAAGTTATCAAAGGTCAGGGGCATCCTTAAACCAGTTATCAAGTATGTAGTTGGTGATGTTAAGGCTAACTACTTGTGGTTTGATAATTGGCATCCACATGGCATTCTTCTTGAAGCTTATCCTAGGAGGGTTGTTTACAACTCAGCTCTCTCTCTCTCTCTCTCTCTCTAAATGCAGAAGTGGCTGCTGTTATATCTGAATCTGTTTGGACTTGGCCCTCTGTTAGATGAGAAGAACTTGTCGCTGTCCAAGTCGCTCTTCGTGGTGCGTGGTGGCCAAATACTTCTGTCGCTGACAAAGTAGTCTGTCCCGCTTCCTCTAATGGTCTCCTATATTATCTACTGCTTGGAGCATTCTTCTTGAGATGTTTATTGATCCATCGTTTGGTTGCTGCTGTAGTCGACTGTTGCCGGGATGTGAAGTGTGTCGTTGCAGCTTGTTCCGTGGAGTTGTACAAGAAGGTTGCTGGGCTTGTAGCGGGGTTTGCCCCATGTTTTTCAGCACTAGTAAGAAATGCTTGACTTACCCATAAAAGAAAAGTATTGATGCTTGGTGGTGAGTATGATGAGATACGAATGCAATTTTCAGGGTCCACAAGTGTTATTCGTGACGATCCACTAGTATTGTTACCCGATATTCATGTCATCTACTTGATATTCTTCTAAAAATGGAAGTTTTTTTCTTTTCTCCTTTGCATATTCTGATCATAAAATAAAGTTCCCATCATGGGACCCAGATCCCCCAATTTCCATTTGACATATCTTCAAAAATGGATGATTGAAGAGTTTCACTGTTCTGCTCAAACTCTCAGCGCTAAGTTTTTGAATTCAAAAGAGGACTTCAACAGGGGCGCCTGTCCTTTTGCCTCCTCCAAGAACTGAACTTAGCTCCTGGCCATTCTGTAGTGCTTTTCCCTTTTGATGCACAGGAACTGATACTCATCAGGCAAATGAGCTATTCTCATTCATAAGGAACTAAGGGTTTCTTTCCATTTTTCTGCTAGAATCATAAACTTCCAGGATCGATTTATAATTTATGTACTCTTATTGAATATTGGGCATATGATCTCACTCCTTTAAACGCTCGCAACTAATTATCACATAATTGTAAGTCTGATCCCGTAAAATGGTTTTAACTGATATTCCTAAAGTAACTTGTTTCACTATACATACCCACTTCCTCTCCTCTCACAAACAAAGGAATTGGGCCAAATTTTCCTGATTCTCTTTATGTCTACGTTCTCAAATGAAGCTTTACCAAACTGATTATTGACTCCCCGTTCACATGTGATAAGAGAAAAGTGCATGAAAGTCCTAAATAGCACTATTCTGCTGAGTATAATAACTTTTCCATCAATCATTGGCCACATTCTCTAAAGAACCCCAAACTTCAGGTTCTATCTCAATTTTTTCCCGAACATTTTTTTGTCTAAAAAAAAATCTCCAATTTATAATCTAGTTCCAAATCTGCTCACTCATCCAAAGTCACTTGTTTTTTCAAAATTATCAACATTATGAGGTTATCGTTCTTCCGTACACCACGGTCGTCCCAGCAACATCAGGGTTAGTTAGAGATAGAATTGATACGGTATTCCAGTTCGAGATAGAATTGAGATCGGACCTGAAAAACCCCAACTTTAGGTCCAATTATTTGAGTTCCAAAACTTTTTCAAGTAGCTCAATGAACTATTTTCAAACAATTTATCTCGTCCGGAGAATATCGGCCTAACGTGGTATATTTTTGGTTCTTGAGTTGTCCTACAATAAATGGCTGCTAGGAGAAATGTTTCCCCAATTGAGCCATTAAACAATGTTGTTTCAGTTCAATCTTTTCTTCGAATCAAAGATATTTCTGTGCAAATCATTCCATGCACAAACCCTAACTCCTAATTGGAGATAAATCATCTAACGGCGACCAGGAGTGCACCAAGATCATCTCAATCGAGTAATCCGATTGTTTGTAATTGAAAGCAAATAATATGCTCGAAACGATGAAGGCTCCGCTTAATCTTCCGATCTTTGACTTATTTTCAATGAAGACTGGAGTAGTGAAGGATGGAAACCACATTATCTAATCCTCCAAATTCACATTATTTGTGCTGTGCACTATCAAACTTTAGCCTTCAACATTTCATTTCGTACATTTTAAGATCAGATTGCCATGCTAGACATTTTAAATATGAAAAAATTTTAATGCCGCACATGACAAGTTATAGGACCGATAAGTGTACTCCTTGATAAATCATTTTAGGACATTCCAACATACTTTTTCTTGATTTGAACTATAGAAATCACTCACAACATGTGAATCATCGATACCCTCTATTCACCTTACCGTTCGCTTGGTATGATAGTTCGTTTAGCTGTATTGCAACCGTGCTATGCTAAGAAGAATCCTCAATTAGTAGAAAGGATATCACAAGGGACAACGTTGAAAGAAAGTTGTATCAAACCTCCTCTTAAAATTGTAGCTGTACACCAAACACGCACCTCGGAAGTCTAGTTTATGTTTTTCACATTATCTTGCTGTACATGTCTAAGTTTGAGAGTATATGCATATGCTTAAAACATTGTATTTTTCCCCTTATTTTCTAAGGTTCGGAACTGTGCAAGACTATTAAGTACCATCTAGTAAAGAAAAATAGTTCCATGAACAAAGCTGAGTCAAGACTGAGTGCACGAAGTCCGCTTCAAGTAATCGCGAATGACATCTCATTTCCTTGCATGTGTTTCAGCTCCTCCTGATGATTGGTCGGTCATTGCTCGACGACAATAAACCGAAACACCGTATCGACCAGTTCAATCTAGGTATAGCTACAGATACCCTTCGGCTCATACAACTTGGGATCACATGAAATGGCTTTTAGTGCACACCTACACATGCTCAGTGCAGACCGTGTCTGATGATAGCTAGGTCTCGAGGAAGAGTCTCAGCATAAAATCATCAAAAAAACTGAGTGATGAGGACTCACCCAACAATCTGCAGAATCGAAAAGGACCCTAAGCACGTGTGGACGATGACAACTCCAGACGTCGCATGAAACACAACTGAAACTCGATCCCGATGAGAGGAAAGACATAACTTCTAGCGCTTCAGAAGTGCATTAACAGTTCCTGATGCGTAGTCTGATCAACTGGTTGGTGAACTCGGGGCAAATGCACGTGGTGTCCCTTTCCTTTGAAATGAATTTACCATCTCATTTGCAACCGAAGTCACAGCAACTGAGTGCCTTTTTTACTGGTCTCTGGACACTTACAAGAATCTGCATGAGAGATGTCATGAATGAAAATGCAAACGTCGTTCTTAATGCTCAACAAAACCTTGCTGAATTTGTTAGTCGCGAAGAAGTTTTGCTTCAACAAGGGAAAGGGTGAATTTGAACTCGGCTGCGCCGGGAAAATGAATTCTGACAGGTGTTCATCTTATACATTGTTTCAAATGGTATATATGTATAGTAATGCATCGTGGCTTCTGATCTATCATGAATGAGGGAACACAGGCTGGAGGACACTAATTAAGGATGGTGGATGGAGATTAATATATGGCAAATCAACCAATGGCCTTGGTGGGTATTGATAAAATAGCCGATAAAATAGAAAGAAGCAATTTTGCTTTTTCTTTTGTGGGGTCCTGAAAACTCACCAGTTTTCTCATACAGTTCTGCAAGAGAGCCGCACACCTTATGTAAGGAAAAGGAGGACTGATGAAATTGAAGTGCGTTGGTGGGTCTATTAAATTTAACATACGAGGGTCACCTGAAAGATCAGATCTTGACCAATCTCTGTCAATACTTGATGCTTCATCATCCCCAGCTATTTAGCATGTTTCATGGGGAAGAACACCCTTTGTTTTTCCTTTTACCAATTTCGGATTGAGGAAGAGGACACATGTAAGATGAAAAATGCCAACAAAATATGAAGCACTGATATGTGAAAAGCGCAATAATGCCATGGACATGATGATCTCCACACGGAAGAATTTAATGTGGTTCAGAGAGAGAGAGAGAGCGGGAGAGAGAGAGAGAGAGAGAGAGAGAGAGAGAGAGAGAGAGAGAGAGAGAGAGAGAGAGAGAGAGAGAGAGAGAGAGAGAGAGAGAGTTATTATTAGGTGTTTGTTGCATCTAAGCTGATCAAAGTGCAAGTTAGAGGTCATTGATAATGCACTAACATTGCATGATACGAGTCGTCTTCTTCAATTCAAAGATATGTCTTGGCTATTGGTAATAATTCAAATTTCAAAAATGGAACAGACAACAAAAAATTTGTAGCAGTTTGTTCATTCGGACTTAGAGATCAAAGACATATATACTTTGAACAAGAAACTTCATCAGAAAATCAAAAAAGAAAACCAATCGATACTCATATTAACACTTATGCATTAAAAACCCTAAATTCCACAGTCGGTCTCAAACCAAAAAATCGAACATCAATCTCAACAATCCCTAATCAGAAACAAATATTCCGACGTCCGCCATGGCCCAAAAAAAAATTGCACATACATATATAAAAGAAAAGGTAGGGCGAAGAAAAAGGCCAGAGAAGATCAAAAGGTCATACATTTTTTTTTAATTATGACGTCAATGTTGATGGTGATGGTGATGAGAATGATGACTGGCTGTATCGCGGCCATCTTGATCACCTCCATGATGATGCGGCTGTGGACCGCTGGCCTGCGACTCCGAACCGCCGCCGCCTGGCCGAAATGCATTCAGTGCCGCCAGCATGCCCAAGTGGCTGTCAGCTACCGTCACTCCGCCGCCGCCACCGATTCCCGGGCCCAATTGTTGGCTAGACAAGAGGGTCATTGGTATGGGGAAGTTCATGAGATGAAGGCCACTGGAGATGGAGCCTCTGTACATGGAAGCGTTGCTGTTGCTGGCACCAGAAGGGAGCGTCCATAAGGGATCGCCGCTTATCACTTGGCTGCTCGTATTCGGCATCATCCAGAATGCCGTCGGGCTCCCGGCAGAGCTCGAAGATCCCGCTGTGGCGCCTGGCGTCTGCAACAGGTAGTTCCCCATCATCACGCTCTGATTGTTGAATTCTGGCTGCTCGGGCCTCCGCTTCCTCCCTAAACCTGCCTCCTCTCCCTCTTCCTCTGCCACTGCCGCGGCATCGGCGTCGCGTAGCTCTTGCTTTGCTTCCGACATGGTGCTGCTGTTCGCGTTAAATGAATTATCCGACGATAGGCCAACTCCAGGGAACAGAATTCTGTGCTGGGAGGCGGTCACTGGCTCGTCGACAGTGGAGATGCTCCGCTCCCACTGACTGACGCCGTGCAACATCATGCTCCTCAGGTGCGGCGACGCAGCGAAGCTGGTGGAGGCAGGGCTAAAGTAGCCGCTGCGGAAGTGGGAGGGGGCTGACATGCTGGAGCCGCTGCTGCGGAGGGAGATGTTGAGGGAGGTGAAGTTGGCGGGGATGGTGCCGGTGCCGGTAGCGGCGATCACGGCGGGCTCGGCCTGCTGGAGGAGCCACTCGATGGTCTCACCGTCGGTCTTGTGGCCGAGCTCGCGGGTGAGCTGGAAGACCCGCGCGGCGCACTGGGCGGGCATGCGGATGCGTCGGCCGCGGCCATCGACCTTGGTGTGCCGGTCCTTGGTGGAGGTCCGCTTGGGAACGGCCTTCTTCGGCAGCTCGGGGACCTGGAGGTTGGAACCGGGGCGGCTGGTGCTCGGCTCGCCGCCGCCGCCGGCGATGGCGAGGGATGCGTAGGAGGAGGGAGCGGAAGAAGGAGGGGGAGGAGGTGGTGGTTGGCGGTGGTCATTGCTTCTCTCGAGCAATTGGAGAGGGAAATTAGGTCTGCGGAAGCCATTATCATCATCCATGTCTGGATCATAATAATATAATATGGCGGTGGTGGACTATACTACACACTATGTTGGACTGTTTCCCCTCCCTTTTTCTTCCCCTTCTCTTTCTCTTTCTCTCTGCTCGTGGGTGTGTGTGTGTGTGTATCTGTAGATGACCCAGCTACTCAGTGAACTTGGTGCCCTTGTGGGTCTCTCTCTCTCTCTCTCTCTCCCTCTTTCAGAGGGATAATACAGGGGTTCCTTCCAGATGGGAGCTGGCAAAAACGGGTCGTTTTCTCTGTGTAGTCCAAGAGAGAGGATACGGAGGAGAGATGGGCGCGCGCGCGCGAGAGAAAGAGAGAGAGAGGGAGGAGGGGGGGCAAAGCTTGAAGCAACATATACATAATGAGAAAAGAATCATTCATTAAAGGGTATTCAACCAAAAACAGAAGAAGAATCATGAAGGGGGAAAATGATTATATTTTTTTTTTCAAAAAATAAAAAATGAAATCTTTCGTTGGGGAGAAGATATGCTGGTAAATTTAAATTCCGGGTTTTCTTGGTAATTTTATTTTTTTCCTCTCTAATTTTGCCTATTTTTGGGGGGGTAATGTTTTGGTGCTTGTATGATGTTGGGGTTGGGTTGAGGACAGAGCCCCTCGGTTCAGAATCCACGTGCGGTGCTCCTTATCGTTCAAGCTAGTAAAAGACAGTGGACACCCTGAGCGCGTGGGTCCCATCCCATCCTTTTTTCCCCCCACCCCCAAGTGTCCAAAAAAAAAAAGGAAAAAGAAATTCCCCAAAAATGATTTTAGGACCCGTAAATTGAATAAATTATTAAGAAAGGAAGAGAAGATGATCGTCCAGCTAAAAAAGAAAATTAAAATAGAAAAAAGGGGGGCAAAAAGATGATGGGAGTGGGTTCACGTCTCATTTTTCTAGCTCTTCTTCTTAAGAGCTGTCTACCAAAGAGATTGGTATGGTGATTGGAGATGTTTACATATGGGGATTTTGTGCTTCCCTCTTGCTTAATCCATAAGCCATGGTGAAGTTTCTGTTCTTGTTTCGATGCTCGTAGAGCTTATATACAACTAATCTTACTTTGCGCTTGAGACTACCTCAGTCAATTAGGGTTTTCTGAGAGTCTTCCAAATTGAATATGCTTAAGCTTATGGATGGAGATATTCTTGTTTATTGACAAGTCCATAATAGATCCAACTTGAGAGTTTCGTCTATGTTTTTGATTCGTATTCTCCCTTTGGTCATCGCACGATATGCAATTATTGCATTAAGAAAAACAAAAGAATGAGAAGTGTTGAAAGGACTGGATTATACATTGAATTTCGATGGTTGATCAGATATGTTATTTTCTCTTTTTTTCCTTTCCTTTTTTCCTTTTCTCCCCTTAATTCTCTCCCTATTGCTCCTTCTTCCTCGATGTTCCGCCTCCGTATGCCATCGCTTGCCACCATTCTGACTGCTCTTTGCGTCGTTGCGCCAGCCATCGCGATTTAAACTGCCACATCAATCTATCTCTCTCTCCCTACCTCCCTGAGGTCGAGACCTCACAGAGAATTTTCTTAAGGATGGTGGGTGGGAGCAAGCAACGACGAGTCAGGAGATGTTCGGTCAAGCAAAAAGCTGAGGAAGGAGAAGGCGACAGAGGAAAGAGTTAGGGTTTTTATAGGACATTACGTTTATTTTATAAATTATGGGGAAATATACTTCAATCAATTTGCAGGTTACCTCTTAATTGTGCAATCCACACCCAAACATAGATTGTGATCGAAAATCCCAGCTTGGTTTGTACAATCAGTCACTTTACAAGAATATAAAAATGGAATATCTCTGCTTTATTGTTATTATTATCATTATCATTATTATTTCACTTTTGTGTTGCTAGAGGAATATCTCCTATTTGATCCGATTAGATCCACCACTCAACTGATCCGCCACATCATTTGCTCAGGAGGCACAAAAAGAAAAAGAAAAAAGAAAGACACTATGGTGATATTTTACTTTATATATATATATCCAATTCTTTTTTTTAGCAAAGAGAAAAATTAAAGCTAAATACAATAGAAAATTATCCTTCAGATATGGAATTTTTCAGCTGAGCAGGAAAAGGAAAAAAACCTTAACCTTGACAAATTCGTATAAGGTCGCGAGGGTTCTCTATGCATCATGCATCGAGTGCAGATCATGATGACACTACCTTTTTCAATTGAGACCCATCAATTGGCCAGCGATGCCACTTTTCTGTGCAGTCCATCCATCGAACGCAAGATACATTCACATGTCCATAAAGCCATCTTCATTCTTGACTGATATTTATTTAGACAACATAATTACAGTTGAAGGATCCACAACTTCCACAGCACGATTCTGTTGCAAGATTCGAGAACCCTTTGAAGCTGAGCTCGACAGTAGTTCTAATCTACCAACTTCGTCATGAATTAACGAAGATTAACGATAAACATGCGGGAGTAGCTTCATGCAGCTTAGGGACAGTTTCGAAAGTGCTTCCAACAACCGACACTTATAACTACGAGTCGCACGCACCAATGACGAAAACAATTTGGGAACATTCGCAATCATTAGCGCAAATGACACTTAGTCGGCCCGTTGGAGCCGGTCGATGACCATCTTATATCATTAAGGAGACCCTCGATGGGTACTTAAACTGATCTCAAGTGACACTTAGTCACGTCATTTCCCTGCTCATTAGCACAAAGTGCGTCATGCTTCTCTTGTTTCATCCGAGCTTGCGGCAGCACGACACGATCAAATCGATCAAATGTTGCAACTTTGTCCGAACTGATTTCAGCCCCTTGTGTGCTGCGTAACTCCCTTCCCCCCACACAAATAATTGCAAGAGGGGAAGCCAAATAATTATAGTGGGGGGTTGTCCCAAATGTGGGATGTCACCGAAGCCAGCGACACGATCACGTTCCACTACGACCGCCTTTGGAGGACTGGCAATAATTGTGCTTGTGGATATGTTGCCACTATATGTGTGAGCCTATTGCCTTCGATTTGGCATTGTTCTTTCCGTATTGCAAAGATGGTGACAGCCCAGGTTGGAATTCTGATAGGACTTTGCTCACAAAATGAAATAAAAAAGAAAAAAATCGAGCTGGTCGGCACCGATCCATATCTATGGAAACTCTAATTTACTAATGGAATGAATTCGGTTTTCTAAAATCGAAAACTATATATATGTGTCGACGCCCAAATCTCTCCGGTGTCATGATTTGTCGCCGTTAGTCCGTTGAACGAAAATCGAGATGATAATCGGGCTACTTTGTAGGGACTAGGGTCTCGTCTCTCTAATTTGTGGGAGCCTCTATCTGCAATACATTTGGACCTGAGAGATGCTTACCGAAAAAGATAGTTTAAAGGAATTTTTCCTAGTTCACATTAGCATCACATCTCCATCTCCATCTCCATCTCCTTATTTCTTGCTAGTTGCCTACCGCATTTAATGGGGACAGAAGAAGTGTGATAAGGATTTTCTTTTTTCCATTATATTATTTTGGGCCAGCAGGGAACGATGGGAGTTTGCTAGACCTGCTATAGTCAATGTTTGGCGAAAGAGACTTCGGCAATTTGGGACCATGCATCATCAAAAGATCTTCTAAGGGGCAGCTAGATTTGTCAACGTGCGTAGTCTTTCAAAACAGAACTATTGTGCAATGGATTATGATCATGTAAATATACATCACGTCATAACTAACGTAGCATTGCATAGTCAATTATAATATATTGACGAGTATTTTCGATATACTTGTTGGTATATAGAAATGTTTCAATTTCCCAATACTAATTATGCACCACGCACTTCCCAAGAAAAGTTAAAGTATGAAAAACCAATTATATGTACTTTATTCAGTTTTGGCTTGTTATGAAATCATTGTAATCTACGTTCTCTAATAAACTATATAGTTTTCCTGCTTCCCCTCCACTTTTTCCCATGACTTTGAAAATGGATTTGTATGCACATAAGGTTTGGCTTGTTAATCAAATCCTTGTGATCTATATTGTCTCTCATAAATTATGTAGATTTCCCGCTTTCCCTTCACTTTTTATCATGAGTTTGAAAATGGATTTGTATGCACAAACAAGACCGATATGTCAAAATTATTAATAGAAGCATGCATGTCCGTTACCAAAATTCAAACACGTGGCAATCGCGAAAATTTATGTATCATGGATCTCTAAACTTTCACATCCCGAGTTAATCAAAAGCACAAATAACATGGACATCGATGCCAAACGTCGATATCCCAACTCGAATCTCTCCAAACAACTTCTATCAGAAACCCTAATTAAAATGCAGAGTAAAATGGGAAAAGAGAGAGAGCCTTCGTCCACACCTTTTGGCCACAATCCCCTGGAATCAATAATGGACCCTAAAAAGCCACCAAAGAATTGACACCCACCTTATGCTCTTATCTCTCACCGTTCTTCCTTGCTGAGATATCACGTGCTTTGACACCTACACACACACACACACACACACACACACACACACACATATATTTCTATTGTATGCTTTCCACTGATGAAGATAGCTCACCATCCCTTTGAGCTAATCATACAAAAAATTTGTCGGAATGTTGGTGGTTATTTGGGCTCCATAAATAAGATAAATAAAGACCATTTTGAGGCCAAGCTATAGGCTCACTTTTCAAAATTCAGTTACTATTCTTCTAACCATTTTCTTGCAATCCAGATGGGGGGATTGATCCGACCAAAAAAATAAATAAATGGGGGGTTTGCATGAATTTAGGGTTTGTAGGCCGTCCTTGGGGTCCTGTGGTACGGTTGGATTCCTAAGCTATCTGTTGTATGTGGGGAAGTTAGGAGACCGATTCAAGAATCAGGGGCTTATATATATACACACACACACACATAAAAGTGCCATAAGGAAAATCATTAACTTTTTTCAACAGTTAATTAATTGGGTAGATATGAACCTTAGACTTTAAACGGTAAACCATTACGCTTTAGAAGATATATGATAAGAACCAGAAAATTTCTAAAACCCTAGAACTTCAAACTTTTGCGTGCAACCAATTTAGTTAGTTGAGTGGCATGAAGTCATAGAAGAGGAGCTCAAACCCTTACATGAGAACCACGCATTTAAGTTAGTGAAGTTGTCTAAGGGTAGGAAAACACTAAAAAAACAAGTGGACGTACAAGTTAAAGACGAAAGAAAATAACTTGCAACCTTGACGCAAGGCTAAGCTTGTTGTGAAAGGCTTTCGTTACAAGAAAGAAAAAAGGAATTGTTTGAAGAGAGTTTTTCACCAGTGGTTAAAATGCCTTCTATTCAAGTTGTTCTTGGTTTGGCAGCTAGCTTGGATTTAGAAAGTGACCAG